AGAGACTTGTGAAGCGTGGACGTCGATGTTCGTGTCCTGCGCCCTAGGTTCAGGGACGGCTTGCGTAGCAGCGGGTCTGACCCCAGAACCGTCGAGACCGCGAGGAGACGTCGTTCGGAATCACCACAAATTCAACAGGCCTCGTAATCATTGCGGGAACTGACTCGTTTACACTGCACCAACGAACTTAAGCACTAGAGCATGTAGTTATACTACTTCATTCAGGCACAGAAAGGACTCGTCGATCCTGCGGCGCCTATTGCCATTCGGGTTGCTTGCGTTGAATGCCGCCGTCTGCCAGCTCAACATCGACTGTGATGCGGCTATTGGAATGAACCGTAGAAATCACGGGTTCCCGCAGGCGTAAGCGGGGGCGAAGGAGCAGCAGCCCAGGGCGGGCGAAAATGAGTAAGAGGACGTTAACTGCACCACTCAGATGGAAAATGGTGACGACCGCCAATGTTGCCGCGGAAGGAATGGAGGAGGAGCGCAAGGAGCCGAACATGATCCAACGCACGATGGACATCGGGAGTATCACGACCGAATACGTTATTGGATACCTATTCGAGACAAGGTCAGCAGCGGATTTCATGGACGCAAGGGGATGGCGTACGCGAGTAGTCCCATGCCAGCTTGTTTGGCATCAGAGAGCCCGGCTCCTTTTTTGCGACGATGCACGCTGAATTTCCACCATTGAACCGGATGCACAGAGATGTATCCTCTGCTGAGCAGGAAGAGTGGTATGTACGCCACCAAGGAAATGATGAGCGTGAGCCACATCCAGAGGTACTCGCCTACGAGCTTGTCGACGATGTACTGATTACCCTTGCCGCCGATCCAGCACCAGAATGGTGTTGGCAGCTCGTGGTTCTTCAATTTTGAGCGTAAAACTGCGTAGAGGACGACGAAGACCCATATGATGACGATGACCACGAACGCTATGGCACGCTCGTGTACTGCCTTGCGTCCCCATACCATGACGAATGTATGGATCGCGATAGCCTGCATAATCGAGTTTTGTTAGGTGTCAGAGGGAAAGAGAGAGAGCAGTTACTCACACCGGTTGTCATTGCCACGCTTGCTTCGCCTATCTCGTTGATGATTCCTGAGATCTGATTTTATATCTTCGCAATGAAACTCAGAGCCAAGCATACCTTGGGATGTGCAGAAATGGCCTCGTACAACGAATCCCGACTGTATCCATCTAAGTTGCATAGCGGCACCAACGGCGTGTACCACATCGGATACAAGTAGCTGAAGCTGGAACAGTCTTGAGCATCTGACACGTGAAAGCTCACCTGCAAGCTCACCATGTATACGTCTGCCGGGCTTTCGACCAGGCTCCAGTCTCCTGAGGATGGGTTTCGCCAGAGTCTATAGGTGTTACGCTTGAAGGTGGCAAGGAAGACACATATCATATTCGCATGCAGCCCGAGCAAAGGGAGCAAAGGAGCGAGATCCTCACTGCTATCAAGATAAACAACAGCATGATGGATGTGATTGAAATGAATCCAGCGATAGCTGTGAGCTTGGGACGACGTCAGGATATCTTTGACCAGCCGCACAGGACAGTAAAGCCTACCGTGAGGCCGATGCTTTGACCGCGAGTCAGGCAGGTCAGACCAAGCCCAGGGGTATTCGAAGCATGACTCTCCTCCCATTGCGCGTACGTGCAAACAGTCCCGAGTTTGAGGAAATATACCGGAACGGTCACAGTGTCGTTGTCGTTCGCTCCAAAGACGCTGCGACTGAACATTGTGGACATGGCAGGAGCGAGATAATGTATGATAGGGGTCGTCCATTTATATTGCGAGGCGCAGCGAAATTCGAAATAAAAATGCCATAAGTATGCATTCCGCGCGGTTACCCCAGGTTACTACCCCGGATCCGGGTAACGCCACATCAACGGGCTGGACGGGATCACCGCCGCCATGTGCTGGGAACAAAGACCGGCCTACCTACAAAAGGAGTCAATATTTTGGCAGAACCAGTAACGTACGTGGATCACTTGCCGCCCACATCACAAGCTGCACGACCCCTGCGGGGAGCGACCGAGCCGCAGCTGACCGAGGCGCCAATTCCCGTTGCTCTGATCGCGAGGAGCCCAAAACGATGCAAAGTCTTATATATTTTGATATGACCCACAACGATACGGCCTCGATGTTGATGGACAGAACCTTCATCGGCTTTAGTGAACCCGAAGGCCCACTAACGACAGACAGGCCCTGGGGTATCCGAGAAAGCTATCAGCCTGAAAGCCCACAAGGAATGTAGCGTGACATCTTCGGGAACGCTTCAGTGAACAGCACACGGGTCGTGTCCAATGGCAGTAAATGCGCGCAACTAAAAGTACTCACAACTCTGCGCCTCTTGAGCAATTTACTGCCCATCTTCGTTCTTTCCCGTATTACGCTGCCCACGATTCGGACTGAACAGCGGCCTTGGCTCGTTCCAATCCTCCCTCACGCCCCATACATGCTCGTCCTTCAGCTTTGGTGCAGCTGGCCTCCGATTCGACGGCATCACAAGTTCATAGATCTCCTTCGCCCCCTGAGGCATATCCAGCCTACCTCCGTTTCCGTGCGTGCTCGGAGTACCAGTTCCCGGGGACGTCGGTTCGCCAGGGGCTGTGGCAAGGCTACCGGCGTTGTTCGTTCGAGTCGGGGTCCTGATCTCCCATTTGCGTTCCGGGGCAGGGAGGGGCGTCCAACGGTCTTCGCGTGCGTAGGCCGCACTTGTCATCTCATATATGCGTGAGAGAGCGCGCTTGAACGCGAATTGTTCGTCGTGACCTGCATATAGCCCGAAAACGAATTAGGGATCGGTTCTAGCAAGTAATTCTACAGACGGAGTAGGACGTGACGAACCGGAGAAGATGGACAGCGTCTCGAGCGCAGGTGCTGACCGCGCGCTCTCTTCCTCACCCTTAGTCTGACTTGGGTGTTCTTCGTACGAGAGCACGTTCGGCCGATAGGCCTCACGTGTCTCCGACACCGACTCCGCCATCAATGGATCCATATGCACGTCTTCACTTTCGTCGGACTGTCTGTCTTGACTTACGACAGCATCCGCGAAGAAGAGGTTTTCAAGATCCGTCTCGGCCTGACAGATGAGCTTGCACCTGGCCTCGTACAACGCGTCGATGAGCGAGATGAATCGCCTTGCTTGGTTCTTCTGCGACAGCTTGAGTGCGGGAATGGCAATGATGATGTGCGTATCGAATGTAGAGGCGAGAGTGAGATAGTCTGCGGGGCCTAGTGACTGTTATTGCGTTTCAGGGAGTGAGCATTGGAGACGAAGACGCCGCATGATTGATTTATGCAGTACCTCGTCGCATAGTTCTGAGAAGGTAAACCGACAGGTGTTTCCGGATGTTCAGGGGACTTGCAGGGTTCGGCCGAATACCTGGAGCTCGCGAGGTTGACCAGGAGATCTCGTCCATTGTTTTACAGTCCTTTCGAACTCTGCTTTCCCCGCATCTCCGGTTGTAAACCACGTCCCGTACCCTCCTTCTTCCTTCACCTCAGCTCTCACCCTTCGCCAATCGTACGTCGACCGCATTTCGAGCACCGGGCAGCGCGCTTTGAGCGCCTCGACGAACGGCTCGAGCCTTTCGCGCTGCACCCCGTTCTTGTAGAGATCGTCAGGGACCTTGTTAGACGTCCCTACTACAACACCTGGGCGAAAGGGATGACGGTCGACTCGGCACCTTAATGGTCTCTGGAAGGTGGGAAGTACGTACCACCCATTCGCCAATACCACGAGAGCACGTCCGCGAGCAGTCCCGCGCTGGAAACATCCAGCAGTTGCACCTCGTCGAAGACAAGCAACCAGTGCTTCAGCACCAGCCTGCGCGCGATCGCGTACGCGATGCTCGGCTCCATCGCATTGCTGCCGTTCATCAGTTGCAGGCTCAGCCCTTTGCTCCACATCGTTGTGAGGTTGCCGCTCTGTACGAGGGATCGCCATCGGTCTCTGATAGCGCGCGTCCACTGGGGTCTGTCCTCTTCAATATCTCGAGATGGCGAGGCGTGGAGCGCGGCCATGCGCAGCTGCGTCTCTTCCCACACCGCCCTGTACACCTCGAGGACGAACTCGCTGTAGTGTCGCCTGATCTTATGACGCGTCGGTACCGCGCTGAACCACTCGGAAACGAGGAAGGATTTGCCGCTGCCGGGTGGACCTGTCAATAGGAGGCCCTTGGGCGTCGTGAGGGTCGCGAGTTCTTCGGCATGTGTCTTAACAGTTACAACTGCTCGGATATCGGTGGAAGGATCGTTCGCGTCTTGACCGGGATGACCAGCAAACCACCAGGGAGTAGTGCCTTCATCCTGACCTTGCAGAAGTGTGGAAGGGGTAGGACGTTGATAGTAGTGTGAAACGAATGCGGGTGGGCTATAGTCTTGTAATTTGTTGGAGAGTTTCCGAAGCTGCAGATCAGGAATGTTATGACTAGCCGAGCGGTTAGAAGAGTGTAGGAGGCGTACCTCCATCACAACCCTCAGCTGGTCTTCATCACGTCGGATCTTACCCAGCGTGACGAGGGCTTGATACCGATCCAGAAAGTCAGCCGGCTGCGGCAGGTTCTCGGTGACGCGAACGTCGTTGACCGCCTTCAGCTCAGGTGCGGGTTCCCCAGACGCAGAGGCGAACGCCCGTCGCGATCCATACTGAGCTCCGCGTTTACTTTCCGCGGCTGCCTTTGACGCATATATGCACCGACCAAGCGCTGTCAAAGTGCATATACGAGACATCGTCCAGCGCATTCCAGTCGTAAAACTGCAGTTATAACTTGGGCCTAGCCAGCCATATCGTCGGCAGGAAAGAAGGTAATATCTGGGTGGCTGTACCCCCCAGCTTGTGATAACACCGAACGCCACCGACTGCGACGTCGGCACCACACCCGTATTTATCCTCATTGCAGGACCCGTCCCTCCGTCCGTCGCTTCTTGGCACCACATTCGTTTCCACAGAACAATGCCAACAACATCGTCAACGACGACGACGACGACGACCGCCGTCGAAGCAACGCGGACCGTGCCTATGAGGCGGAATAGACGTCGACTCTCCTCGTACCGTTCCAATCCTCAAAGGCAGATGCTCTGTCATACTCTCCCCAAGTCGCTCGACGCGTTGGACCTATCCTCCTCCGGCGTCCCACGCCCGACGCTTGCCTCCCTACGCGTGCATGTTTTGGCCTACCTCGCCGACCTCGAGACGCGCCTCAGCCTGCTCGAATCTCCCCAATTCAGCCCGGCAAGTTTAGGTCTGGGATCCGGATTCGATTCCTACATCGAGAGCGCTGAGAGCAAGGTGCATGAGAAGGTCGAGGAGGTTAGGCAGTGGGCAAGGGCAGGACTCGAGAGTATAGCCAAGATCCGGAGCGACGTGTGCTCGTACCTCCCCGATTTCCCAGACTTAGAAGAGTCGATGGTCAACGTGAAATCTCGCCTCCCGGGCGTATCCCCACTGGGCTCTCTTTCATTAGAGGAAATGCGCTCTCGCCTGCCGGAATTGCCCAGCGTCGAAGATGTACGCTCGCGTCTTCCCGAAATACCTCAACTGCCGGACATCCAGCTCCCGGAGCTCTCCATGCCTCAAATGCCAGAGCTCGAGTTCGACCTCTCCACCCTCCGGCCTCGGCTTGAGTCCCTTTCCTCGCATATCGACTCTTTACAGACACATCTCTCTTCTGCCGCGCTGTATCTCCCGCACCTCCCGCATGTCTACAGCCTCAACATGAGCATCGCGCCCAGCACCATGCTCTCCGACCTTCTAGACAAGGTGCTCATGTCAGACCACCTGTACAAGATGCTTCCGAAGGAGGACGAGAAGGAGGAGAGCATGCTAGAGAAGGCGGCACGGGAGGTCGCGGCGGCAGTGAAGTCCTCCATGCACGGCGCGAAACTCATCCGGTACTCGGATCTGCCGAACAAGTGGCGAAACAACCCGTTCGTAACGAGAGGCTATCGGTAAGCACGCCCCACGACTTGATTTCGTCCGATCGTTGAAGGATCACTTCTTAGATTTATCCCTCTGGACCAGTGGCATCGTATTATCATATCTCTGGGACAGATCCATAACGAAACACGTATGTTTCCTTGTTCTGACAATGACCCATGTACTGAGAATTGGTTCTCGTAGTGAATATCCATACGCACTTCCTCCCCTTTGTGTTCTGGCTTCTGCCCCTCCTGCCTTTCACGCCCACTATCGCCTCCCAACTCCCCTCCTCTATCGCGTCCCTCCTCCCATCATCTCTCCACTCCGCCTCAATGGTTCCAACCACAGCAGCAGACCTTGACCTTCCCGAACTGATCTTTGTCATCTTCGCGCTCCTCTGCCTCTTCGCGTCAGCCGTCTGGCATACCATGGCCGGTTGCGCACACCCGCGCGGTATGGAGATCTGCGCGCGGCTCGACTACGTTGGTATCGGATGGTGCGCCCAGCTTCCCGCCTTGTCTCTGACCAAACGCTGATACCGCGGACATTTGGGCGTTTCACAGGTTGATAAGCGCGAGCGTAGCCTCGGTCATGTACTACGCCTTCCAAGCCCACCCCGCGGCACGCGACATTTACCTCGGACTCTCCTTCTTCACCGCAATCGCGGGTACGGTCCTCCCCTTCATGGACTGGTTCAATCAACGGCAGTACAAGGTCCGAGCTATATATATCCTGCGACTCCTACATACCACGAACGTATGCTAACTGTCGGCCACAGAAATATCGCATCATGTTTTTCCTCGCGCTGGGCTTCACTGCGCTGGCCCCGCTCACGCACCTTTCCCTTCTCTTCTCGCCCTACCGCACTCTTGTCTTCATCGGTACGCCCTCTCCCCTTTCTCGCCTTATATGCCCCCTTGGCTTCTCCGCTGACGAACTGATCTTCCACAGCGCCGGTTCTGCGCTCCGTGTCCTCCTACCTCGCCGGTCTCGTATTCTACGCGACGCACTTCCCCGAGTGCATGCTCTCCAAGCACCCGCGGTGGCGCTGGCTCGACTGGCTAGGCGGCGGTTCACACGCGATCTGGCATGCGTTCATCGTGCTCGCGATCGCCCAGCACCGGGCAGCGATCGCGGGGCTGAAGAGTGGGATATGAAGTCCCGGTATGGATGTAGGGGTTGGCGTGAAGATGATGGGGAGGTAGACGGTTTTCTGGTATAGATTCATGGGGTTATGCGTATAGATGGGTGGAACGTAGCATATTCCTGGACGTAATTCATTCTCTGGTTACGGTATCATCGGGCCACGACGTCGACCTGTCATACCGTGCCTGAACAGACCGAGCGAGGCCTCGCGAAATGGTTTGAAGCACATGTCGCACTCGGCAAGAGCTACCATCTTAGAACTAGAAATATTGACGCGACAGCCATTTCATCCATCAAATCGACGTATGCCCGTCCTGGTTCCCTGGGTTCTAGTAACACGTAGTCTTGTCCGCTGTTTGCGAAGATGTCGAGAACAGCATCCCTGCGGGTTGGATGAGTGTGCTTATGAAGCTGCACGCTAACGCGGACGGCTGCCGTGGGGGCCTTGACCGTGGATGGATCATGGCCGTTCCCTATCCAAGAGTGATATATGCTGGAGCAGCCACAAGAGACGTCTGACGTCGCCCAATCCGGGCAGATCGACGGATAAATTAGACAGGATTACATGGCGGAGGGTGCGGGTATGGCGGGCAACGCCTTCCACGACAAGACGCGCGTCTGCACATATGCCCGAATCCGATACATGAAGGACTTGGAGGGCCGGCATCTGCATGCGGGACAGATAGCTCGAAGGTGAGCAGGGAGCCGTCGCCATCACTGACAGCATGAAGTTCGACGTCCAATCGTGATGATGAGTGACATGGGTGAGGTAGGGAAACACCATTAACTGCCTGAAGGGGAGGTGGCCGAGGCCAGTTACAAGCCGTGGGGAATGATAATGAGGTATAATCGTCAACGTGCGTAAGGTAGGAGCAACGAGGTTGAAGAGCAAGTTCCATTGTCGCACTTGGATTTCCGTCCCGTGCATCCGCCGGAGGTTGCAGTCCAAGTTTATAGGTTGCACGCTGAGGTAGGATGAACGTTCCCGGGCGGCAACGAACAGGTGCAGAACTCTCCGGCCCTTCTTGTTCTCTTTCGACAATTCGATTAAAAGGGCCTCCGTCTGCCGACCTCCTGCGATAGCAACCGACTGGAACCGGTACTGTTTAGTGAGGCCTAGCGAGACGAGAGGAATAGCGCCCGTGCAGTTTTCCCTCCGTCGGTGCAGGCCAATTGCACGATCATATCGAGTATCTCAGTGGGTAGACGGTCCATGACGGCGGACGGCAGGCTCGGAGATCAATTGGCCTCTGTGCGGAGGCGTGGCGGTTGGAGTGGAGGTGGGCTCAGCTGTTCATTCATCCTCTTCCACTCCGACACTGAAGTGCAAAGCTGTTCCTGTTTACCTACCAACACGTACATGTGTCAGAGCTCACAGCTTGGCGTCGTACAATGTCGACGTACATGAATTATACTTTAGTTGGTGCCTTACGGTACCTTGCTCAGCTTCCGTTATCGAATCATGGCAGATAGCTTGATCACAGCCATCCTTTGGGCGTCTCTTTCATGAAGGTCATCCAACTCCTTTATACATAAGATATGGTTGCGTTCCTTGCTCTCGCACGATACATGCTACTACCGACCTAAACGATGCCGCTGGTCCTCGATGCCAGCAGCTCGTGCGACATTTGCCTGGAGGAATACACCTACGAAGACGCATACTCGTCGCCTCATGCCATCCCCTGTGGACACGTGTTCTGCCTGACATGCATTGAATCCTTCGACCCGGAAACCTGCCCGTTCTGCAGGAAATCATTCAACGCGCAAACGATCCGAAAGCTTCAGGCCGACTGCGCGAATCCTCAAAGCTCGACCGCCCGCGCCGAGGACGAGCGGGGCGTGATTGATGCCTTGACCACCTGGAACGCTGTGTTGGCCGCACCGAACGACTCCAGTGAGCGACATGAGCGAAATGAATGGCTCTCGGAATGGATGGATAATCACGAGGAGTCGCAGAACTAGTGAGTGTATCATGCAGAGACGTCGCAGCTGGAGACTCAACCGTTCCAGTCCTCTACAGGCTACTCTGGTCTCGGTGATGCGCCAGGCCCTCGGAACTGGCGACGACGATACATTTCGGGCTATTGAACAAAGCGTCGAATCTAGGGTGGAGGAAGTTGAGAGGGAATGGAAAGAGTGCGTCCTGTCTTGTTTCTATCGCTTATACCTCCGCTGAACGCTGACGGTTTCTTCTACTAGGAAGGCTAGTACTTACATTCCGCAATTTATCCTTGCCTGACATTCCTGTTCTAGCTTGGAGCTGCCGAGAGACGCCATAACGAAGCGTTGGAAGACGGCGCCGAGGAGCTATTCTTACGAGTGGCTACCGCGGAGTCACAACTGTCATCCACTCAAGAGGACTTAGAGAGGGTGCAGCACGAACTGCGCGACACGAAGGCGTCCCTTTCTCAAACGAGGAATCGGTTGGTCGCCGCCGAGACGGACGTTACGGACCTGCGCAGGGAGGTGCAGAACGTCAGCGAGGCCCGCGATACGACCGTCGATCGGAACTTGGACCTGACGGCGCAGTTAGCCTACCTGCAACAGACGCGCGATGCCGAGACCGCCAATATGGCGCACCAGCTCGACACCGTCAACCAGGACCTGCGAGATGTCCGATCAGAGGTGCATGGATTGCGGGTGGCCGCCCAACGTTCGGACGAGTTGGAGATACAATTCGCTGCCGCTCGCACGGAGTTGGAACGAAGCCGCGCTGCATCCCAGATCGGCGATGCGGAGAAGGCTGCGCTAGAGGCTCAAGTGCACAGACTGAGGGGGCAGTTGTCAGGTATAGTCATCGGACAGGCTCACCGGCTCGGACGCTCATTCCATACGCAGGCTTGCAAACGATTCAAGAGCAGGAGGCAGCACGAGTCCGTGATGGCCAATTGAAGCTTGCTGAAGCTCATGCTCGCTTGAGTCATTACGAGCAGCTTTTCAGTCGTGGCGGGCAAGTGGTTAATGACCTGCAAGCGAAGCTTGCTGCCGCACATTCGGACAATGAATCACTTCGGACGCAACTGCAACACGCTGAACACAGTCGAGCGGTGCACGAAGCCAGTGTTACCGAGCTTCAGACGCAGCTCAGGAGGCAGGACTCAGAAATTGGGCTGCTGCGTTCCCAGCCGAATGGTCCTCGCAGCCGCGATAGCTCGTCATCGCCCCTTGGAAACGACTTCGCCACTTTACTTCACCTCTCCAGCACCAATTCAGGTTTATCGAGGCCGAAATCAGCCGCACCTTCGTTTGGCGGCAGTTCACGATGGCCATTAGTGGAGGATTGGGAGAATGATGAGGCCTTTCCCGCTTCAGCACCTCCAGTGCCATCCAAGAATCCGTTCTTGGACGCAAACGAGGATTTTAGTCCTGGGCATGCGGATTCGCGTGTTGCAAGCTCGAGAGGTGGATCGTCGCCGTCGGATCCCTACCAAGCAGACCCGAAGCCGGAGACTGTCACAAGGCGAGTCTAACATTCGGATCACAGACTGAACTAGTCCCTAATCATCATATTACGGGATAGTGATTCCGCAACTCGGTCATCCGACACTGCTTTCGTCGCCCTACCGGACCTCGGGCTGCCGTCAACTGCACCGAAGTTGACCCATTCGACCAGTGTGCCCCTGGATTCCTCGGTGTGGGAGTCACAACGGTCATCTGGGTTCACTGAAAGCACCTCTTCGGAGCGAGCCGGTGCAGGTCTGCCTAACGGTGCCGCTCCACCCGACCTTGCTTTCCGTCGCATGACACTCTTCGGTCCGGGTGGCGAGGAACAGTGTATACCCCATCCGCCCTCTTTGACCCCCGCTGTCTCGTTTCCCGGAACGAACGCTGCCACAGATGATAGTTTCATCCCCACATTCCGACAAGCACGATCAGTGGACACCCCTAACGCGGCACCACTAGGATCCGCACCACTGGGCAACCGGTGGACCAATTCGCATATGCAACCTCCATATACACATTCTCGAACGGCTTCTGAGCCGCTTGTGAACTTGCGCACGACACCGTTGCACCTCCTGGAACGAGTGTCCGGAGCGCTGGAAACGCCGACCGAGGTATCCATGCCCGGCGCTATGCCCGCCAATGATTCACCTTCGGCAGGCGGATCTGCGCCAAGAGTCCCAACGGAGAAGAAGTCGATGGGCGAGACGATGCGTAAACTCTTCGGGCGGAAACATTGATATTTCTGCATGCTCCTATAACATGTATCGACATTAACACGTACGTGTGTCTGCTGGCAATCTTGGGTGTACTGTACTACGGCATTCATTCTGCTCTCGTCATGGACATGAAAACCTTGACCACGAATTTGTACTCCGAGTCGATTCTTTGAATATCGGATACTTGGCGATCATTCCCCGTGTCGTAGCGGTCGGTCGGGCCCTCTATTATGTTGTCATTGATAGCAAGCGGGAATGATATGTTCCAAGGCCACCCCCCCCCCCCCCCGGCTCGTTGCATGAGTGTGCCACCTATTTCCGGAAAGAGATCATTTTCTTCGCCCAAATCCCGATGACTGAATGCCGGAACATTGATGCGGTGTAGCCTACAGGCTCGTTTCCGGTAAGGATCCCCCGTTCATTGCCTGCCCGTGATTGCCGCTGGCCTTCAAGCGTCCAACCTTCTCGGTCGATCTGTTCGGTGAATGCTCTTGCTCGTTCCCATATGCTACTTCCCCCATGAGCATCTTCTGCCCATTGCGATGCACATCTATCCTCGCGGCGAGGAACCAGGTAGATATGGTTATCTTGCAGGCGCACATCTTTTACCCAGGTCACTAGAGGGCTGAAGAGACCACCGTAGCGATCGTCGCCCTCTACCACCAACATCTCAAGGCTAAACCTCTTTTGAATGGCCGGCAAGCTGCGGACTGTGGCGTGATGCATAGTGACGGCGAGGTGGGTGAGGCTGTCGAAGCATGCTAGATCGTGACGGAACGTGTGTCTAAGATCCAGCTGCTGCCAGCCATTCGCCATGACGCGCAGATGGGTGATCAAGTTGAGGATGAAGGGATCACTTTCGCTGATCATGGGAGATTTGAGTGTCAAGTGGAATGGTCCACCCTGTATCATCCGGGATGCCTTCTGGCGTAACATTTTGGGAGAATGTGCCTCCATCTCTTCCTCATTTGTCGTATCCGAATTCACACGCAACCTGTCGCAGGCCAAGTTGCGCAAGTTTGGGAAACTTTGGAGTAGGTGCGGGATGTCCGTGGCGTAAACATCGGCGGGCCCTAACCATAGGCTCCGAACATATTTGGCCTGACGACGGCACGCGTCGTTGTCGCCCCACATAAGCCGGCGGATGGCGCTGTCATGCTCCCAAGTAGTGCCGCAAAGGGTCGAGTATAGGTGCTTCTCTGCGATAGATCTAGTCCAGGAAGCTACCAAGGCGAGGGTATAAGCATGGTTAAGCGATGAGCTGGCCAACAACTCGAAAACGATTATGAGAATTTCGATGGGTAGTTTGGCGGACATAGCGATCATCGAGGTGGTGAAAGTACTTATGCCCCGTCTACACGTGTCCCCTAAGATGAACACGTTGGCTGCGAGTCAGAGAGCTGTGTGCATATCTGTGCACATATTGATATCATTTGAGATGGAAATCGAGTCCTTGATGACGGTTTGTGAGAAACAGCTGTAATGGCTGTTGAGGTTCGGGTATGATGCGGTGGAAATGGATGGATGGTCCCTGAAAGCGGTGCCCTAGGCACCCACGCTTTGAGAATTGAGGGCTTTATTGCTCGCGCAGACATTCCGAGTTTCCTAAAAACAGGACCATATGCCAAACATATACACTTTGGCGCTGCCAGGTACCATCGCCGAGGTGTGCCTATTGCCACGGGCGCGGAGAACACAACTCCCAGAACCACGACTGGTTCTGTGGTGAACCTGCGTCCGAAGCCTCAGTGGATCCCAGGGCCTGACTGCTGGCATCACGGCTTGGAGGAACAAGAGAGGTAAGTGCTGGTGTCCAGGGCGTCCATATGGACGGGTGCAGCTCACACCAATCCGATGGGCGCGAGGGCGGAATGGGTCTTAGGCCGGCTTCTAGCCTGCAAAAGCGAACCTTGGCTCGTGATATCATCCACTAAGCGTGGAGTGAGGGCGACCACGGGAGCTGCAATGAGGCAGCAGCCGTATGAGGGAGGGTGCAACGATCCTCATGCGAGTTGCAAGCGCTTAGAAGTCAGGAGGGACGCATTTTTTTATGTAGATGTTCAGTGAATATCGGAGGTAGGTTAATGATGACATCAATACCTCGATATCCGTTCCTCCATGAAATCATCGTAGTCCGTTTCCTTGCTCCTATCATCAAGAATTGCGCAATCCCGTTCGCTGCTGCTGAAAATGTCCAAGATAACGTCCAAATTATCCCGAGGCAAACCTATCTCCGGCCGCACTCGCAGACGCACATTTTCTGCGAGGGGTTCGATCATAAGGCTGATATTGTGCGAGTTACCTGGAGGCTCGATGTTTGCTATATCCTCGAGTAGACCCAAAAGGCGCCGGATGGAGTCCTGCTCCCAGGGCTGCATGTAAAAATCCGAAAGGAGGACTTGTTCTAGTTCTGGCGAGTGACGAGCGACGTTGCTCACGAGCAGACAGATATACGAGCATGCTGCTCGGCTTGACGAATGGAGGACTTGCAACCGGGGCATGCGGACGCAATCGAGCGAGGTCATGGCCACTTCGGAGCTATGTCCGAGTGAACAGAGACCACGATAGCCCGCGTGTTGATAGGTGAGGTGCGTGAGCTGCGGAAACATGAAGACTGTTTCTTCCTTTCCGAGAGGATGAAGGAATAGGCCCGGAATGGGATTATATGACATGACACTCAGCGTGCGCAAGGTGGGAGCAACGAGACGGAAGAGCTTCGCCCAGTGCCGCTCCTGGAGATCCAGCATGCCCCGTAGAGTGGTTCCTGGCTTTGGGGTGGCGAGCGCACGAGAGAAATTGTTGACGGCGATGAACAGGTGAAGTACCTTCCGGCTCGCTTCGTCCAGCGTCAACAGCTCGTCCAAGAGCGCTTCCGTTTGTTGTGGTCCCGCTACGGCGACCGACTGGAATCGGTGCTGTTTGCTAATGTCCGAAATGCGTTGGGATGCCAGCCAAACGCTCGTGCGGTTTTTCCTCCGTCGATGCAGGCTAATCGGACAATCGTGTCGAGGATCTCGTTCGGAAGGCGGTCCATGATGTCGGTCCACTGCCAAGTACATGCCTGGCCGCACCCAGGGTTCAGCGCTATTCATAGCGAAGATCAATGCACTCCAATGCACACACGCTGATATATACAGCGTTCAAACGTTTCTTGGGACTGCTGTGGTGGTGCGAAGCCGGTGGGGCTGGGCTACGCGGTGTTGTGTTGCGCGAGGTCTCGAGGCGACGTAGTACTGCGAGAAGGTGATGATGTAGGTGGGTGAGGGAGCGCGCGGAGCGCACGAGGAGACAGAGGCAAGGGGAGGACTGGGGTGGTCGGTACGCTAGTCGCTGTCGCTGTTGCTGATTCGTATCGCTGTCGGTGGTTCGCACGTAGATAGATATGAAATGTGTGTACACGGAGACGCTGGTGAGCCGGGTGCTGGAATACGATACAAGAAAGAGCAAGTCTATTATACGCATCGTCTAGGGTCCGTGCGCCATCATCCTCGATCCTCTCGATCCTCTCGATCCCTCCCAACCGTCCTGATCCTGGTGATCTTGAGTTGTCGGCCGCCTGCGCAGGTATCGATCGTGCCTGTTGAGCGGCAGCCGTACGTCCGGAGCGTAGTGGGTCGAGGCGACGAGCGACGAGAGCAAAGAGTAGCGCGCAGCCACGGGCGTTGAGTAGCGAGAAGCACGCCGCGAGCAGGAGTGATGATGTCAGCGCTGACATTGATGTCGGTACGGCCCTGCG